TAATACAACGATCTTAAATGTTACGTCCCTGGGTGGGCTTGAACCACCAACCTTTCGGTTAACAGCCGAACGCGCTAACCGATTGCGCCACAGAGACCTCGCTGCCCAGAACTTTTACCAGACCAAGTAGGATAATTTCCCTCCCTGCCCCTCTAAAGCAAACTAACAATAAAACAGGGCAACAGAGTCCCTCCAGTGCGTACAAGCTTCAGAGTCATCATTTTGAATAAACGTAATCCGCCAAAATACCAAGAAGGAATCAAAGGATTCGTCTCCCTCCTGAGACCTAGAGATACGATTACGTAGCCACATAGATTTTCATTACTGTATTTTCATTCCAACCAGAAAAAAAGAAAACCATCAATCTCGCCTTCCTGGTCCCTCCCCATTCTTTCCCTCCCATAGTCTGGGCACAGTCCGTCGGCTTCTCTAGGTATGTATTTGTTCCAGGTTTCGAACACAATCATGCGAATCTTACAGGTTTCTCGGGGTTCACGCTCATCTCAGGACACTTTAGGGAACCAGGATTCCGGTTTTTGTTTTAATAAATTCTGCTTTTAGAATATTTGCCGTGGTCTCTGTGGCGCAATCGGTTAGCGCGTTCGGCTGTTAACCGAAAGACTGGTGGTTCGAGCCCACCCAGGGGCGTGTAGTTTTAAAAACCATGGAGACCGTTAAAGAACTCTTACCGTTAGTGGGTTTTAGTCACAAACCTCAAAGATTGGGAAAAATTATGAAGGGAGACTAGGAGAGTGGTATGCTCTTGATGTGGAAAAAGGAGGAAGAAATAGGGGGAAAACAGTATTAAAGCTGCTGAGAGTTACAGACAGCGGTGAGGACCAAAAGTTATGCATTTGAGGAGACCAGACACTGCCTCCCAAGGTGTTACAGAAGATATCTTTGAAGTTCTGTGGATTCTCTATCTGTCCTAGCTCTTCAACCTGTCTCCTCTTCCTTCCCAGAGTCACTATCCCATCGCCTCTCATTCAAGTCCTCAGTACCACCCATCTAGGCTATTTTCATCGTGTAGTAGCAGGTCTTCAGGTCTCCAAACTGTGCCTTTCCCTTAGCTGTTGCAATTATCATTCTTATTCATATATTTGGGTACCACACTTCTGCTTAAAAAAAAAAATCATGGCTCCTGATTCTTTTTTGAGAACATTTCAAATTGTGTATCTTTGTTTTCCTCTTCACCTCCCCCCTACCCCAATTTAATTTCGTTCTCTCAGTGTCTCAAAGGAACCAGTTGAGTCTGGAGTAAAGACCTTAGCTCAAGTCTGACCTCAGATTACTCTGTGGTCCTGGGCAAGTCACCTAACCTCTCTCAGCCCCAGTTTCCCTAACTGCAAAATGGAGATCATAATAGTACCTACCTACCAGAGTTGCTGTGAGGATCAAACCGTTAATACTCATAAAAGTATCTAGCAAGTAGTAGGTGCTTAACAAATGCTTGTTTCCTTCCTTTCTCCCACAAAAGAGTAACTCAGAGTCCAGAGGATAGGAAGTGAAAAAAATGAGGTAAATTCTCCCTCTGCCTGAAATCTGGGAGCTTAACCTCTAGGTTCCTTTGAGAATATAAGTGAATGCTAGAGAGGAAACGTGAGAAGTAGGTCCAAGCAACCTTGGAGATGTAGAGTACAGGATTTGTATGTATGAGGCTGCCATTTGATAAGTAGTATTTCCATCTGCTTTTGCTTTGGTTTCTTTAGGGACTTGAATTTGTCCAGCATTGCAAGATGAGTCTTAATTTTCTGCCTCTCAAGTTCTTTCTTTTCCCACTATATCAGCACAGAAGGAGGGCATCTATCCCAAACTTCAGAAAAGTTAAAAGGTAAGTAAAGTCTCTGAACCTTCTCTGAGTCAGCCCCTTGGCATGAGGACTTGGAGTCTAGTATCCCATTTCAGTTCTAATAGAACTTAAACATCATTTCCTTGGAGGACGAAGGAATTCTTTTGAAATATACTTTTAGTATTACTGATTAGATCTGCTCTAAAGCTCATGAAGATTTGATCTCTACTGTGATTTGGAAGAAATAGTAGTGTGGATCAAAAACCAAGCATATGAGCCAAAAGGGATATTACTTGTTTAAACAAGGGTCAACAGCTCACCTCCTGACAAAGAAGTGATTGATTTTAAGTGAGGAGAGACGGAGAGACTCAGACAAAGATATTGCCAGACTATACAGACGTGTAATAAGGGTTTTATTTTTTTCTAACTTTGTTGTTTAATATTTGTTGGGGGTGGTGGTGGAGAAGTAGTGAGAAGGACAGATGCTCCCCCCCAATATTTTTATTTAATTAAATATTTCCCAATTACATGTACAAAAAGTGTTAACATTCATTTTAAAAAATTTTGAGTTCCAAATTCTCTTCCTTCCTCCTTTGTCTCCCCACTCCTTGAGAAGGCGAGCAATTTGATATTGAATAATCTGTGAATTCATGCAAAGCGTAGTTCCGTATTATACAGGTTGTGAAAGAAAACAGAAATAAAAAACTAAGAAAAATGAAGTACAAAAAGTATGGTTCGATCTGTATTTAGACTCCATCAGTTCTTTTTCCGGAGGTGGATAGCATTTTTCATCATAAACTTACTGAGGTTGGGGATATAGCTCAGTGGTAGAGCGCACGCTTTGCATGTGTGAGGCCCCGGGTTCGATCCCCGGTATCTCCATCGGTTTTTTCCAGGATTCATCTCAATTTCTGGGTCTTATCCATCTATAATCAAGCTGTTTTTCTAGAGGAGATTTCTCTGGCCAGGCGGCTCCCCTCTGAATACTCACTCAGGGTTAGGAAAACTAGAAATTTAGGAAAGACAGTGCAACGAAGAACTTCATTAGTTCCACTGAATCACAGTTCATCTCAACTGGTAGGGTCTCCATCAAACAGCACTGCTGCACCATCCAATACTTGGAACCAATAGAGAAATTTCGAATGCACTATACTTTCCACATATGTCCTTCGGACACGGTTCCGTGTTACTCTCTAGAACGGTTAGATCAGTTCACAACTCCACTTTAGTCTGAATTAGTGAGGACAGATTTTTTATTAAAAAATGCTTGTTAATTAAAAATAATGAATAATAAATTTTAACATAATCATTCTTGGGCCTCAGTTTCATCATCTGTAAAGTGAAAGGAGTGGACTACATTATTTGTAAGGTTCTTTCCCTCTCTAAATTGTTATGTTTTTATGAAGTGTTGAGAGGTAGTGCAAGGTAGTAGGTAAAAATGGGGTCTCATAGTTAGGAAGACTGCTTCCAGTGTCCTATCTTTCACACACTGTAGCTTTGTGACCCTATCTATACACTTCTCAGTGTCCCAGACACATCCAAAAGACCCTAAGTCCAGGATTTTAAATTTATTATGTTCTTTAAAGAAAAACAATAGGGAAGAGATCCATGAATGTGACCACAATACTCTTCTTCTGCGTGTATGGAAACACTCATGCATGTTGATGCTTGTCAGGGTTTTTTTTTTTTTCAAGTAATAAAAAATGAGTATTTAAATCAAAAAAGGAAACAAAGGAAAAGTGAATTAGATTTTTCTGAGCACTGCTCCTACTGTGCTGGTGCATTCTGGGGGTTCTGTTTCTCTATGTTTTACATTTGAATGCATTTTGCTTCATAAGTGTCCTTCTACTGTCAGAGATTGTACCGTCACATGGATTTGAATGGTCAAGTTTGGTTTAAGATACAGTCTATTTGTTTGTGCTCTTCAAGCCCACCTAGGAACCTGAGTTAGCCTCTTGAAAGTAGTTACTACCGAGCAAAGAAAATATAGAATTCCCCATTCATTTTCCTACATCTTGCTTTATCCTGCTTTTGCTTTATCCTGATGGCTTCAATTTTTCTCATTTCAGCAATTTCATTCCAAGGCTTCAACTCCTTAAAGTGATTCCCATATTTATATCTCTGGTCCTAATTTCTCTTCTGCATTACAGAGACACAAATACTTTCCTGCATGATATCCTCATCAGGTTGTACCCTCTCTTCAAAAAACAAAAATAAAAACTTAATCCTTTCAAAAGCGAGGTCATTGTCTAACCTTTCTCACTTCTACCTACTCTCTCGTGCTCCTCATTCTGACCCCACCATCTATCTTTGGCACCACCATACACTAAGCCTCTCCATAAAATGTTTCCATTACAAGTGTTCGTGTGGATTATCTGTGCCCAGAACTGTGTTGGAGACTTCTGAGCTTATTTTGGTCTTATCAGTCACAGTTGGACACCATACCTTGGCACCAACGTAATGATCTTATTTTGGGAGAATGGACAACAACCAACCAACCAACCAGTCAACCAATCAACCAACCTTAAAACGATTGAAATGTGGAGAGAGAAGAGGAGATGTGAATAATGTGAAGATCCTTCTGTAGGGAGAGGACATTATAGAGAGAGTGTGATGTCCTTGAAACAGAAAGGGTTTGGGATTTGAGGTGAGGTATGGTCAATGCTTTTTAAAATAGAGAATTCCAGGTAAAAACTAAATAATGTAGATATGGGAGAATTGGAAAATCTGGAGAATGGTGATGTCAAAGAAGAGACCTTTGACTTTTCTCTCTCCTCCACCTCTCATGTCTAATTACATATCAGATTTTGGGGATTCTCCCTTGGCCAAGTCTCTAAAATCTAGTCTCTAATCTGTTCCGTAGCAAACAGTGACCTGGACTGTGCAAGAGGTCTTCCCATCGCCAGCCTATTCTCCTCTCTGCTGCAAGAGAAAGAAAAAAGTTCCTATGCTCAAATATCTTCAGGACTTCATTGCTTTCCATTTCTAAGTGAAAGAAACAATAAAAATAAATAAAATAAAAAGATAATGTGGGAGCGTACATTCAGGGGCAGAAAAAGAGATGAAGAATTTGTTGATTGTTGGAGTACAAATAGTATTGGAATCTCTTTGAGAGACACCACTCATCCCACACCATCCTTTCTGAGAAAATAGGTAAGAACCAGATGGAAATATAACGAAAAGGTACTGTTAAGTTCGGGAATATAGCTCAGTGGTATATAGCTCAGTGGTAGAGCGCACGCTTTGCATGTGTGAGGCCCCGGGTTCGATCCCCGGTAACTCCATCGATTTTTCCCAGATTCATCTCAATTTCTGGGTCTTATCCATCTATAATCAAGCTGTTCTCGGGCCAGGCGGCTCCCCTCTGAATACTTACTCAGGGTTAGGAAAATAAGGAACTGTAGGAAAGACAGTGCAAGAAAGAGCTTCATTAGTTCCACTGAATCACAATTCATCTCAACTGGTAGGCTCTCCATCAAACAGCACTGCTGCACCATCCGATACTTGGAACCAATAGTTAGAGAAATTTTGAATGCTAGGGGATAAGTTCACTTACTCTGGCACTATACTTTCCACATATGTCCATGTCATCATCTGTGGTGAGATTGAGGTACTCATTGCCAGAGCTAGCTCAGCGTTTGGGAGACTCCGAAAGAAAGTGTGAGAGAGAAAAGCTATTAGGGTGCATACCAAACTGAAGGTCTACAGAGCAGTTGTGCTGACTTCATTGTTGTGTGCCTGTGAAACCTGGACAGTATACCAGTTCCACTCCAGAAAATTGAACCACTTCCATTGGAATTATCTTAGAATGGTTCTGAAGATTACCTGGCCATCTATAAGGTACGGGACACTGAGGTCCTCTCGCGAGCTGAACTGCCAAGCATTCAAACTCTACTGAAAAGAGTGCAACTTCGATAAAGCTGGCCCCCTAGCTCGAATGTCAAACTTGCGTTTACCTAAAAGACTATTTTATGGAGAAATGGCACAAGGCAAGCGCTTGTACAGAGGTCAGGAGAAGCGGTACAAGGCCTCTCAGGGCCCTTCTGAAGAACTTCAGTATCGATTTTGAGACGTGGGAGAAGTTGGCAAAGGACCACCCAGCATGACATACTCACATCAAAGCAGGCTCTGTGGTCTTTGAGCAAAGCAGAATCGCAGTAGAACAAAGGAAACTTGAGATGCGCAAACGTAGAGACATCTCTCTCCCAAATATTCAAACGGACTATTTGTGTCTGACCTGTTAGAACCTTCCAAGCCCGTATGCGTCTGTCGGCTACAGTCAAACACATTATATCTTGCCCCCAACATCTTGATGCTTCGGTGTCGAATACCAACAGTAAACGGCACAGAGCTGCTTCTGTGGCGAGGTTCCCTCCAGAGAGTTCAGGGTGTCCCGTTGTCCAGGACTCTAAAGCAGGAAGTCTCACGACGACAAGCCGCTGAGGCTGATTATTCTGTGTAGTGATGTTTCTGGTTACAAATGGTTCGATTCTTTTTCCTGAGAACTCACTTGTGGTCCATCAGCAGACTTCCTCTTATCCCACGGAAAACTTCTTCACGTGTGCAAGGAATAGTGACATTTAGGTGATGAGGTGGATAAGTGGTTAGAGAGATGAACTTGCACACCCATTATGTTGCCCACGTCTGGATGGCGTTCCTGTTGCTATATAAAGTCGTCGAGACACCCAGGAAGTTATATCACTTCTACATTCCTGAGATTCGGTGGAGCCAAAAAGCACACTGGAGAAGCGATAGATTGATCTTCAGACGGACTTTCCTTTCGGGGACGCCTTTCTTCTTCTGATAGGGAGGAGTGGGAACCGGTCGGCTGACCCACACCCAATATTCGGGTCTCGATCAGAGTTAAGTAAGGAAATCAAAACTGGAGAATGCAGGCATCGATTCCGCTAATTCTCGCTTAAGATAGGCGAGTGCTTTTCCATTTTAGCTAATCTGTTGACAAGTTAGTCCCAACAGAATACAGAAGTACGTCTCGGAACCGCCCATTCTCACAAAGATCGCTGTTAAAAATAGTGTAGTTGCCTTTAAGGAGGAAATCACTTTCGATCACTTAAACGACTTCACCCATCTAAAGTAAAATGCCCTTATAAGTACAAAGGCATATGAGGATCTTGAGGCAAGAGGTGGCGGAATGGCTAAAGGCAACGGACTGCGAAAGCAATTAGGCGCCGCTGGCTGGTTCAGTGGATACAGTGCTGGGCCTTGAGTCTAGAAGACTAAAATTCAAAATCGGGCCTCGGACATTTACTTAGCTCTATGGACCTGGGGAGTCTCTCAACTTCTGTCTTCCTCGATTGTGAAACAGTGACAATAACAGCACCTCCCTCCAACGGTTTTTGCGAGGATCAAAAGGGATAATATTTGTAAAGTGCTTAGCACGTGCTTGGTACCTCGTAGGCTCTTAATAAGTGCTTGTTTCTGTCCTGTATTCCATTGTCCCTCGGCAAGCACGTATGAAGTTTTTGCTCTCGCTCTTCCCAGCGGCTTATTTCTGTCTTCCTGAATTTCCATTAGGAGCATTTGCTGAGGACTAAATAGAATAACCTATTCTTGAAGCTGGGAAGGACATTGGAGGAAGAAGCAGGGTGTTCCTAAGGGCCTGATTCCTGTCGAGCCGCCTTTCTCCTGGAAGTATGGAGGAACGGGAAAGGAAAGAGTCTGATGACCTATATGTAAGGAGATGGAGGAAGCAAAATTGGAGGATGCGGGCATCGATCCCGCTACCTCTCGCATGCTAAGCGAGCGCTCTACCATTTGAGCTAATCCCCCTTCCTGATTAGGGGGGGCAATCTATATCTAACTGAATTTAGAAGGCCATACGCCATAGTGTTTGACCTGTCTATTTCTGAGAATCTAAAACCAAAAGAATTGTGGTAGGTAGGGGAGATTAGAGACCTGAGGAAAAACAGGGGTGGAGGAAAGCTTTGGGAGGGGCAAGTATACACAGAGTCGTGGGTAGTCTTGAAGGTAATGACTGACTTCGGGGGGCCCAGCCTTTCTAGGAATCCTCTTCTGGAGTCCGTGAGGAATCCTTGGGGGACGAAGCATCTTAGGTGGATTTCGAGTGATTCGTCCCTAGGACTACAAGGCCTCCTCCTTAATTTGAGGTATGTCCAGGTACTGTGTGAAATGTGTGTTTAATAAACTGGAGAAACTTCTTTTCCCTGTAGACTTTTGCTCATGTCTCCATCTCAACTTCTACTGACAAATTATTGTCCTGGGTTTAAACAAGCATCAACGTTAGTGACTCCACAATTTATTAACAGTGGAACAAGCAATATAGCAGACATAAATACTCGTTTTCCATGTATCACCTGTGACAAAGGTCACAAAGTCACTTTCAACCATCTACAAACTGCTGCCTTCTCATTTCTGAAAAGACAGTCCCACAATTCAATTCTGCATTAGCCAGTTCAAGTCTCTTCTCAAGAATTCTCTTGTTCTTTGGAACTGTAAGGGTTAAATTGAGTCCTCTGAAGATAGAACCTCTCATAGTCTTTTTTCTTTATCTTCAGCCACCATATATAAACATTCTCTCCAGAATAATGGTTAGATTCCGGATAAACAGCCACTCCGAATTTTTGTTGCCTTTTAAAGATAGAGCAACAGTTATTGACAGTCTCTGTGGGTGAGCTATTGAAATTTATGTTACTTGTGTAACTTGATGGTGAAAGTCATTCATATTTTTGGGTCCCAGAGAGCAGCATCAGGTGTGGGAAGGAAAGAGAATAATAAATAGCTAACAGTTTATATTGGGCTTACCCTAGTGTCAGGCACTTTGCTTATCACTTTACAATTATTATCTCATTTGAGCCTCACAACACCCCGGGAATGTAGGTGCTATCATCATCATCATCATCATCATCAATCATCATCATCATCATCATCACCATTTTATAGATGAGGGAAGTGGGGCAAACGGAGGTTAAGGGACTGGCCCAGAGTCACATGGCTAATAACTGCCTGAGGCTGAATTTGAACTCAGTTCTTCCTGATTCCAGGCCCAGCACTCTATCCATTAAGCCACCTATAAGCAATAATACATACTATGTGCTAGACATTGTGCTGACTCAGTGCTTTTTTTTTTTTTTTTAACAGAGCTTGTTAGTTTTTCAGGGAGTTTGAATCTGACAAGATAGAAGGGGGAAAATGCATAAAGTTGCCTCAAAATAGAAAGGGCAGATCCTGAGTTCCCCATACCTGAAGGTTTAATTGAATTCATGGCATGTTATTTCTTAAGTGCCTTGTCTGTGCCTTTGCTGGCCATACGTGCTGTTTGGGGGACTTTCACTCAGCTACTGGATGAAGCATCTTCTCTGTGCTGTCCCTTCGGATGCTGAGAATTTATGGTCATGTAAAGTGGGACCAGGAGAGACAATCAGATGGAAAGGTGTTTCCGAGTTTGAGACTATATTTGATTTGACTTCCTGAGCAATAGGGATGGAATAGGAATCTGTTCTAGGGATGAAACATAAGAAAAAGACCTAACATCTCCTGTACTTCTATATATCGAACATCAACAGAGATGTGTGTGGTTGGATTTTTTTTTCCTGTTGATGTAACAGCAGCTAGCATGACGGCTCTGTGGCTTAGTTGGTTAAAGCGCCTGTCTAGTAAACAGGAGATCCTGGGTTCAAATCCCAGCGGGGCCTTGAGTATTTTTATGCCCACAACTTCAGCATTTCCACTCTAATCTCTATGGGACAAGGAGATGAGGGTCTACTTTCTCTGGACCTTAAAAAGGAATTGAGACCAGTCACTTTCTTTAACCTTACCTGCTTAGGCAAATGACTTGAAACTGACCAGCCACATCAATTTGTCTACTTTTAAGTGGCTTGGAAAATTTAAAGTGACAATTTAGGCCTGGTGTAATAAACAATTTCCTAACAATGGAGCCATCCAAAAGTGAAATAGCCTTTCCAGAGTGATAAGAGGTTCTCTTTCTGGAGATGCCCCAAGTAAAATCAGAATTACCACCAGAGGGATAGATTATCTTGGGGGACATTAAGAACCACAATAATTTCACACTTTGATGAACTACCTACCTGGTGGGCTAATATTAGAAAGTCGCCAACGCCTTTTGAAGGACAAATTAAGTATAAGAAACTATGCAAGGACACAGTAAAATGGAAGATCTTATCCAAATGTAGTAACTACTACTTGTTCTTGCATGAGACCTGGTAGTTTTGTCTAAAAGGAATTCTTTCACAATTGTAAAAGTATTTGGTCATTTCCCCTTGTCAGCTGACCTGAGAGAAAGTTT